ATTATTATTATTATTATTATTATTGTTATTATTATTATTATTATTATTATTATTATTATTATGTATGTAGGTAACATGTCAAAGTCAAGATGATCAATTAGAAGTTTTGTGGTGTCTGATGAGTTTTTGAAGGTGGTATAAGGATGGCACTTTATAGGTGGTATAAGGATGCCACTTTATATAAACTTTTTTCATTTTAAAACAATTTAAGACCAGTAGTACCACTGACTAAGCCCTTCTCCAATGAAAATATGAATTCTTTTTGTTTTGATTTTGCAGGCATTTGAAGTTTCAAACCTAAGGGGGCTGATACGTGCCTCAAGCCGGCACCGCGCTAGGCACTGCCTTTTGCTTGGGATTATTTGTAAAGAGAAGTTGAGAACGAGCTTGGTGGTAGAATTCCATACTATATATCTCATGACAAGTATCAGTCTTTCGCATGTTTCATAAACAAGTCCGAAGAGATACAAGCATGGGTTCTGAATTTGAAGTTCCTATTATCCTAAAGGCAGAGATACAAGCATGGGTGGTGGTTCTAAAAAGTCTGAATTTGAAGTTCCTATTATCCTAAAGGCCAGAATAATCAACATATATGAGGAAGGGCATGTGGGGGAAGAATAGGAGGGAGGAGGAAAATTAGCAAAGGGTGAAAGGAGTTAGAGAAAACATACAAAATATGTTGGATGCAATGGGAGTCTCTTCAGAAGATTCAGCGGAACTCATAACTGAGGTTTCTGCTGACGAGGTTTTGGGGTGGTTGTGGTCGGGGTCAGGAGAAATTTGGCTCCAAATGAAGATTTTATTGTGGAATGTTTAGGGCTTAGGTAGTGAAACGAGAGAAGACACTCGGCAAGTTTGGCGAGGGAAGAAAAACCAAACATAATTCTTCTTCAAGAAACAAATATGCACCATGATGGTCAGATCCTTATGCGCAAATGACCCATGGAGTTCACTTATCATCCTACTTTTGGTCTTTCTGGTGATCTTTTGATGGTGTGGGATCAGAATTTTGTCGAGGGATCCCATATTACTGTGAAACAAACATTTTGTGTCTCTGTGTTTTGTATGGTGGCAATCGTGTGTCTATGGGCCAAGTGAAAATGGTGAAAAGCAAAAAAATATTTATGATCTCTCAATTTCGATATAAATATGGTATGGTGTGGAAATGCAGACTGTAACTTAGTCCGATGGCCTAACGAAAGTAATTAACAAAATAAAATAAAATCAATGATAATAAAGTTTAATGAATTATTCAGAGCCAAAATTTGAATATAAATCATTTTGGGGATGTCTTGATATGCTTTTGATCTTCTTTTATTACTGTAACTGAGTTGTACGAGTGGATGTACTATTGATAGTTTGCAGTACCCTTGAGGAAAGCGTATGTAATTGTGGTGGATACTGGTCACATTCTAAAATTTTAGGGAAATTTATGTCTGCACCGGTTCTTTAATCTGTTATTACGGATAGAGCTCAAAATAGGCCATTATTTACTCAAAATGATAGCCCCCTCGAAATTTTTTAGTTTTTAACAAATTTGCCCCCAGTCTGATTTTTAATCATCAGGCCTCTTGGTAACACCAATTGCCCGTTAGACCTCATTTTTTGAATATTTAATGCGGTCTGATGTTCCCAACATTGTACCGTGTTTAGACCTCATTTTTTGAAGGTTTAAAGCGACTTGATGCTTCTAACATCAAACCATATTTAGATCTCATTTTTTAAAGGTTTAAGGCAGTCTGATATTTCTAATATTGGACTACGTTTAGACCTAAATTTTTAAAGGTTTAAGGTGGTGATAAAATAAAATAAATAAATTAATATGATGTCTAATGTTTAAAACATCGAACTGGAAGCAAACTTAAAAAAAAAAAGAAAAATCCGGAGACAAGGACCTCCACATAAATATCGCATATTTTTCGACTATCACGTTCAAATAAAATGGCACGCACATAATTTTCCCAAAATTTTAAAAGAATTATACAATAAGATGCTAGTATCTACTATAGGGTTTCTGCGGCTATTAAAGGCCTTATGAGAACATGTAATCAATACCTAATATAGTGGATCAAAGAACTCCAGTGGGAGTATGGTCTTGAGGGACCAAGACATTACGATTCAGACAGATTGAGATAGGCAAATGCTATTTACCGATACTCAGACCTGACTTAACGAGCTTGGCCAGTCTAGTTGGAAAACTCCTAATTACTTGGGTAAAGAATAAAACCGATGAGGGTTTATGGGTTATCCTTTGATGAAGTCGGAGTTACACATGAGTGAGTCAAGGGACTATGTGACCTTTATATATGATGGTTGGCCTCTAAAGACGATGGTTAAAGCATTCTCAATGAACCATCACACAACATATGCATATGATAGCCATATCGAGAGAGCAATACACCATTGAGGGTGCAATATGTACTTATGTGAGAGATTACTTTTATGCATCATAGAACTGTGGTGACATCTGGTCTAGGTGACCATGGATTCATCTCTAAGGGAGAACATGTAATCCATAGACTGGGATTATGTCATGTTGTCTATTGACTGACTTTGGTAGCCAAATCATGAACCCTTGTAGTGGTCTGTGGGCCATGAAAACTGCTAAGTCAGTTTGAGAAAGCAAGTGTGGATTATAGTTCACAATAGAAGATGAAGTGTTTCATAAATATTAATTCTTTAACCGAAGATCTTATTTCCATCAAATTATTTGAGTTTATTTTGTTTTGATGTTTATTGATTTTTAGAATGATTAACTAAATTTTTGTGAGTTTTTGAATATTTTATTATTGTAAAATGAATTTATAAAATAAAAAAACATTTAATTTTCACTATTAAATAATCAAAAAAATTAAAATTTATTTCTCAAATGCTAAAAATAAATTTTTTTATTTTAAAATTAATATAATAAGATGAGGGTCCATTGGGATGTGTGTGGGGTCCACTATAGGAGCCCTAGTTGACATGCCCAACTTTAAGTGGGGAATTCTCTACAATTTTGAG